AGCCTGACCAGCCGATCCTCTTACAAGCCTGGGTTGCTGAAGGTTCTTCACGGGTCTATTCGGCTGCGCCAGTGAGATTCAGGCACCTCAGCTTTGTTGGCAGAAATGTGTCGACCTTGAAAGTGATTATGTTTAATAATCATTAGTAATTATATATATCAACAAATGCAATTATATGGTCTATGGCGAATGTGGTAGATACCCGTTATATATTTGTTCATATTTACGTTTACTCAGATACTGGCTCAAAATAACAGAGATGTCGCGGGAACGAATCCCAAAAAAATGCTACGAAATGCTCGTCTGTCGTGATAGTGTTGGTTACGTAACCTAGGCATCAAACATTAAGCATTTACTCTTCTCTCACGGATTTGGATATGTTTGGCTTAATCAAAGCGTTGGAGACAAAATGTATTTTCTTAGCTCTTTTAAGCAGGTAGCAATTGATACGTTTACTCAAAATTGGAGGTCGTCACTAGATAACAGTACACGCTACGACGTCTATAATACCTTTAAATATTGTCTAACACCAGAGGTTTACCTGCATACTATAACAGAGAGAAAAATAAGAGACACATTTTTTAAACTTAGGCTAGGGTTAAATGATTTGATGTGCAACAGGGGTCGTCTCCTCTATTCCTAAGGATATGCGTTTTTGTCCATTCTGCGAAAACCATATTGAAAACGAATTACACTTTTTGTTTATGTGTCCAATTTACGACAACCTAAGATTGAAATATATGCCTGATATCACTAAGAACCACGATTCCATGAACAAAATATTATCTTTTAATGGTATCCCTAGTCCAAAATTAACTAAGATATCACAATACATCTATCAAAGTCTACGAGTGCGTAGTAAAATACTTAAGTAAATCCGATATGTCCAGAAATAACTAGTTGTTTTGAAACTTTCGCATCTAGATCAGGAGTATCTACATTTCATTTTTGTCTGTTTGTTTCTACTAGAAATGCATATACATTTAAATTGTCAAATTGACCTGACATGATGAGCATATTTCTGATAGATCCTTTTGTATTGAACGTCGTGCTATGGCTGAAAGCCTTTGCGACATAAAACTTCATTTTTCCATTCCATTCCTTTTGTATTCCTTTTGTATTTTATACTACTACTGCTGCCACTGTGGTTATTACCACTGTTATTACAATACCTCTATTACATGTCAAGCATCATAGTAGTTATCCAATAATTATGTAATGCGCTGTACAGCTGTAAATGATATTGTTTATCTGTATGTGTATATGGGCCAATGGCCTTTCATACAATAAAGATTGATTGATTGATTGATTGATTGATTGATTGATTGATTGATAGGCCAGGAACCTTACGCAAGATTATGAGGACATGTTCATATTTATACATATTCTCTGACAGGTTCATGACGTAGACGACTATGCTACAGGAGGAAGAAGCAGCATATCCAGAAATTTAAAGAAAGGAGCATATCAACCTGCACGTTTTCGGAATAACGCCCCTACACCGTGATAGTTGGATATGAACTTTACACATTACATTAACACACCTTACACTCCCCCCTCCCCACTAGTGGCAGAGCGTCTGCCCGGAGAGCGGACGGTCCGGAGTTCGATCCCCGGCCGCGTCATACAGAGACGTCAAAAGGCGGTACTTGTTGTTGCTGGGAATTAAGGGGCTAAAACAAGGACTGGTCGGCTTTGAGTCAGTATACTGTGTCTGAGTGGGGTATACACTGCGGCATGGTATCTCAGTGAGCTAGTACTATAATATCGACATAAGTCCTGACTAGTACAAGCAGCCACACACACATACACACACACGTGCATGCACGTCGCTATATAAGTGCAATCAATAATCTTGGACGCGAAGTTAAATCCCATTTCATCTGTGTGTAAGTGTTGGAAGAACCGTAAAATCTCCAGTTAACTTTCAGTTGCGATCTACATTGTTGGGAGTGAATCAACACAATCACTATAAAAATAAAAAACAATATAAAACTAGAGAACCAAGTAGGATTTAAGCGTACTGAGACGACGCATTGCCCCCCTCCTTGTCGCGGCTGGCATACTATTAGTTATGGTGTCTTTAGTAGTGTCATATTAGGTTAGCAGAAAACTATTTGAGAGGCGTGAGGCAATGTAAAATAGCCAGGATCATGTCAAGATGCCTTCACACTGACCGACTGTCTGGCTTGGACAGCGGGTAAGAGAAAATTGATGCATCAATCAAATCAGCGAGCCTGTCCACCTGATCCCGTTAGTCATGAATTATCACAACGAGAACCTTTAATGTCCAGTCTCGAGTCATATATATTGCATCATTCCAATTTTCAAAAGAAATGTACATGTCTATATATAGCTTTTAATTTCTTTCTGTGATTATTATTTCAGTGTTACTAGAGAATATAAACATACTGGCCTTTTACGTCATTACATTTATTATTAAAATGATTCTGACATCTGAAAAGTGAAAAACCCATGATCCTACATCCAAGGGACACAACTCTGCACAACAATAGCCGGTCCTTAGTTGTGTTGAGGCAAACTTAAATACGGAAACACAGATCCAGTTATTGCAGCCACACCAGGTAAACATAATCAAATGTCATCCTCCTTAAATTATTATAGTACAAGCTATTTATGTCACCTATCCTTGATTCACCTGGCAACGCGTCACATCCGCACACATATCCTGAAAGTACTGTAACCACTGTAAAACTGCATGTTATTTAACCGTGTGTGTTCTTTGTCATAGAACACAAATAAACTTTCAGTGTATACTAGGAACACAATGTACTCGATAATAGGGACAACGTATTGCGTGTGTTAACCCTCTGACTGATCAAGCATGTCCTGCTTGACTGTATTTATTTTGCCACCACAAGGGATGCATATTCCAAATCATCATCTATGAAGGATATTTTAATAGTGTTAATTTTCGTTTTATCATTGGTTTTTCAAAGGAAATTGTTGTTTGAAAACTTTTGTTTGATATGTCTCAAAACAAAAATGTTTTATGATTGATAGATTAAATTTTGATTATGCTGTTGTGTTTAAAACATATAACTTTGCCAATAATCACCAACACTTGAAGGGATGATGTAAATCTTGCTGGGGTCCATGTAGGTAGCAAGGGTACTGTATGTCCCCATGGTCGCAGTGTAGTGATCTACTGTGAGTGGCTGGCTGTCTATAGCCTGTTTTTTTATGATTAAATAGTTTTATTTCTTTTTTTATGATAAGCCGTGTTATTTTACTGTCCATCATTACCAGGTTTTTATATATTGTATATATAATATGTAACCCTTGATAGTCACGATATGTCTGATATTGCCGATGTAACTCTAAGTTTTCACTCACTCACTCTCATTAAAGTGATCAATTTCATATACACTTGAATCACGAAACATCTGAACGAAATGTATTTTATGAGTCGCACATATTTCTTTTGCTCATTGTTCGTCAAAATGCGAGCGTATCGTGCCCAAACTGGTGGCACCCGACACAAACACATGCAAAGGCAAGTGCGTTGTAAGGTTTTGTCAGAGTCCATCACTTCAGCTGCCGTGCTTTTGATTGTACCACTCACGGATATCATCTCTTGTTTGTCCTGAGAAAACATTGATTATTTATATCAAGAGTCAAGGTCACCACAAAGTTCATATGCAGAAGCATAAGCATAACCAAAAGTCCCTTTATGTCGAGCAATCTCCCAGCAGCTCTAGCCTTTGGTGTCTACATTTCACAATCGAACATACTCTCACTGAGAAGATTTCAGAACCTACGATTTTTGCTCAAAAGTTGTTTGATCATTGTCATAACATTCAAGGCCTCAGTAAACGTTTCCAAAAGTGTCATGGAAGACATGTGGAGGACGGATCTTAGTTTCACGCAGCAGTGACTTGAATAGTATCCGATGCAATTATTCAACCATATCATGACGAAAACAAGCAATACAATAATAATAAATACATTCAGACCACAATTTAGACAATACTTGTCGTCGATGGACAACACGATAACTAGAATATTATTAATGTTTTATTGGTAATGGTTTAGCTATTATTTGACATTAGAATATAGATCTCCAGGTTCCAAAGCGTAGATCACTTTACTGAGAACAATGGGTGCTCACTCACTCACTCACTCACACATGATGATCATAGTCGACAATCAACATGGAAGTGGCTATAAACTTTTAGTCCAATGACAACACAACGTCATCGGAAATAATCATTTCCAGGCCTACTCGACCTTGACTCATGGACAATACTGTCAGTTGGGGCAGGACATTTCCTTAACGTTTAGGTTCATCACCTTTACATTGGTTCTTGAGGGTTCTTGAATTCGTTGCTGTTGGGCTGTGACAAAATAAATCTCTCAGACATTGACAATTGAAATTCTAATGAAGATTAAAACGTATTATTCTCACCCCAGGTTGGGAGAAAACAAGTTATTTGGTTGTAACAACGTATTGCTTGTTAGTTCAGTTAACCCGTTCGCGTGTTTAGTAAATCAATTTCACATCAATTATACACATCCAGTATACCATAGGGTTAATGATAATATCATTGGCAACAAGTCGTCATGTACGTTGTAGAAGCACAGACGGCACGACCCCAGTGGAAGAGCGTGACTTTATGTACTACTCTGTTTGATGTGCTTGTATTGTTATCATGGTGTAACGTGGGATTATTATAAATTTAAATGTTTCAACTATTATTTGACATTAGAATATAGGGTTATAATAATACCATTGGCAACAATCTGCATGTACGTAGTAGTACTGTCTTCTTAATGTATATTCTTCGGATGAGATATGCATATGCAGCCTTCACGACTATGTTTTGCAGGTGAAAATCATTCAGTTCAACCGACATCAGTTCCCACAAACTGAAACTTCCACAGATATTCCTGCTGATGCTAGTTGTCTCCCCCTGGGTGATCCTTGCAACTAGGAGGCGTGTTTCGTTCACGAGTTGCCTGTCCACTAAAACGGACAGTGATATTCTTGAATCGGTACCAGTCAGAAGCAGGATCGAGTGTTCTGTGAAGTGCCTGAATAAGCCGGTCTGTCTGTCAGCCTCCTACTGTAAGACTGGGGATGGTTATACGTGTCAGTTAACCGGGTCGTACGTGGAGGGGAACTGTTCGAGGCTTGCCGCTGGTGATGGCTGCAGTCAGACTCCGATGGTAAATTTCTGTTGTTTCTTTGTTCAAGATTGGCAATAATATGTTGAGCATTTGGCTAAGAATTATGTAATGACTAATAATTAAAATTTTGAACAATCAAATATAGAACCAAATTATCATAAGGTAAAACGCCGAATTTTGATAATTTGGAAGCTGACTCATTTCATTCGACTTTCAGTTTGGAATTCTTAGAGTGACCTCAGCTGATGGCATCAAAAGAATGTTCAGACATACTCTGCTCGTTGTGAGAAAGGTACAAGGCATCGATATTTGTTAAAATAGGTTTTAAACGAAAACAGTTCGGATGAAACATATATATAAGAGAGCGAGAGAGAGAGAGAGAAAGAGAGAGAGAGAGAGAGAGAGAGAGAGAGAGAGAGAGAGAGAGAGAGAGAGAGAGAGAGAAAGATTAAACACATGCAGCTCGTGGCGCTTGCGCCGTTGGTAACTTTAAGATAAATATTCGTACAAACATACTCTGTCAACTAGTAACTGATATCCTGAAGTTTTTGCGATTTTCATATTTTTCGATGCGTGGATATATGTTTGTATGATTACATGACTATATCAACCTTCACCTGGCTTATTATCACATATATGCAGGATAATTACAAACTTCAGGGCCTCAGGAGGATTCATATGAATTCGTATCTCTGTCACAATCAGGTGACATACCCAATTCAGCAATTTACTTACTGCACAAGCAGCGAACAACGAGAATATAGGGTGAGTGAGTGAGTTGGGTTTTACGCCGCTTTCAACAGTATTCCGGTTATATCACGGCGTGTCAGCTAAAAGTGGGAGGAAAGCCCGAAGTGATGCAGGTCTCAAACGTTTACCAATTCGGTGAAACCCACGAGCACGGATATGGTGCTGACAAACCTAGAAACATAACTGGGATTCGAACCCACAATCATAGGTTTTTGGTGTGCCCAAGGGACGCAACTCGCTGCGCCTTAGACGATTGGGCCACTCGTGCCCCCAGTAAATAGAGATTACTACCCATGTGGTTGTCAGATACCATTTTACTAGTTCCAGATTTACAAAGAGTAGTTTCAAAACGTGTTGGATACGTTTTGGGCCCAGTTATAAGATACATGGTACATGCCAGGCGCGAGTGCATTAATCTGTTTCTTACACACCCTAAAATCGCAGCATTTTAGCATCGATGCATTCTTTTACTCTACTCATGATCGCATGTCTGTAGATTATCAAGTCATAGATGACAATGCAAAGTAGATAAAAACAAATAACATTTATAAAGACTCTTAAGCCATACAGTTTCGACACAGACGTACATCTAGGTCAATTCCTCTGAAACACGAGTAACTTCTCAAGAAATTACAAATAGAAAAGTAGTCCAATCACGAACCGAGAATTCGATCTCACAAATGTTTGATACCCGGTACCTCAAATGTGTGTGTGTGTGTGTGTGTGTGTGTGTGTGTGTGTGTGTGTGTGTGTGTGTGTGTGTGTGTGTGTGTGTGTGTGTAAGAATAAAGTATTTACCAGCCCCGTGTGAATGAACTGTGTAAGCTCACTACACTACAGAGAAACTTCACTGAAGGCAACCTATTGTGAAGATGGCGTAATATCAATCTGTGATGCCATAATCAGTGGGTGACTTTATCTGACAAATCAGCAATGGAAATCGACAAAACATATGTGATATATATAATATAAGTATTGACTCTCCATCTCTCTGCATTTAGTGGTAAAATCCAACGATAATACACCGGCAAATCATGACTATTATTAAACAGGAACGTGCGTGTTGCATCGTAATTAATGGGTTCTCAGTCGTGAACGTACTGGCACTCAGTGTTTTACGGAATACGAATCAGTTTCCTTGACACGCTGCTCCAGAATCAAAACTGAAAGTTGAAGTTGGTTTCCCCGCTCATATGATCAAGGAAATGAAATTCGAAACTCCTTCCCCGACGCTTGAGCAGTTACAAGTAGAGTTTCTTAAGTACGCATTTCACAGAAATCTATCCAGTTATTATTAACTTACTTCTAAGTATAATAACATTTTACTAAAAATTGTTAATATGCACGAGGACAGATGTTTTAAAAAGACGTTCCATGTTTTTGTATTTAGGTCACTGAGGGCGCCATACAAGGGCCTCTCATAAAAACATTTTCTCATGGCTTTATGTGGACGTTTCAAACGGTTGGGAGTCTACTCTCATTTCTAAGTTTACATGTATGTATCAATTGGTTCTTTTAAAACGGGGTACTCACTTGTGAACGGTTCACAAATAAAGCAGCCACACAACCGCACGATTCCACTCAGTGAACATTTAGATACATGTGGAAGCGGCAACGTTTTAGTTTTCCTGCTATATAAGCTTTGATCATGAACCTACATTGTTTCAAAAAGAGCACACGTCGCTATATAAGTGCAATAATCTTGGACGCGACGTTAAACCCCATTTCACCTCACCTCAAAAAGAGCAACATTTCATTCATAAATACGCGCCTAAGTTAAATGTAAAGGCGTAAGTTATTTGTCCATTGTCACCTTGGTATTGTGACGTCATAGTTCTCCTAAATGTTATGACGTCATGTAACTATATGTTACTTAAGAATTGACTTTCACTTTGTGTGAGTTCATTGGAGTATGAACCTTCATAGAGAGAGGGACAAACTGTATGAACGTCGGAGCTTGTGAAAGTCAATTCTTATAAATTTTTTATCATAATTTCTTACCTCAAAGGATGTAGGCCAAGATCTAAACACAATAATATTTAGTACGTGTGACTTCATGTTTACACTGACAGCCATACAACAACCAGCTATATCGCGGAGTAAAATAGTTCCTCAAAAAGAGAGGTGACATGGGCGTATGGACGCACAACTTGCTCTTCAGAAACATCTTACGCAACACATGTGTTCAAATAATAACACCATTATATGAGAAAGGTCTGTAAAGAACTACCTCAGTAAGTCAGTCACAAAGACAGCGCGTCGTAATACATTTACATAAAGTACAAGACGTCAAAATGGCCGACACGATAAACGTGAAGGAGGATTTCCGAAGTTGTTAATGAACCTGTGGCGGTTACATGTGTTAGTCATCATTGATCAACTGACCGATTATTGAAAGGTCATTAAAGATGCGTCAAACAGACACCAAGGTAAATTCGTAGATTGCTGGAGACGGTCACTGTCAGCCTAGACACAGATCTAGTCGATACTGACGATAGTTTGGATGTGTCCTTTTTTTCGTTTGTTCATTAGGATGGGCCGTAGCGAGGAAATTCGTAAACAATCATGCAGTCAAGCTCTCTTACGTTTCTCAATGTATACTGAAAGGCTGAGACCAAGATAAAAGTTTCTAAATGATCAGAAATAATGCTTATGTATGTTTTCGTGCTAGGGAATTCCCAGGGGTTTCCCCAGGAATGTGGAAGTAGTCCGTCAGTGTTTACGTCATTTCAAGAACACGGTCTCGTGAAAAACGTATGAACGTCAAATTGTGTCGTTCATACACTTATGAACGTCAATTTCGCGGTTATGTGACCGACGTCTTGTCCAATTGAAAAGCCGTATATCGTGTAAACTTCAAATTAAAAAAATATTACTTCATGTCCGTTATTCAGTTATGGCCTGATGAGACTCCTACGTGGTACGAGTTGAAAGCGCTAGCCAATTAAAACTGTGTTCAATCTTACTCCACTTATTTAATTATTGCTATATTGTGCCTGAGAGTTAGAACTTTACTGTGCTTTATATATATCGAGTTGTAGCGTGCAAAACAATATTTTTTACACAAAGCCCTGACTGCGGTGAATGGTGCGGAGATAATGCGACCTCATCGACAGGATGGAATATTTTCACCTGAAAACTGCTCGGTCATCGCCACGCGCAATGTATCGAAATGGGCAATATTTAGTGCAGTCCGGGAAACATTAATTGTATCTTTAATTTCCTCCCGAATTTTACATTAAGTCGGGAGTATCTTCTGTTCATAAAGCTTGTATAGTATATCTTCTAACGTCCCGGTTCCGTTTTTGAGACCACCCTTAAACTTTTATGTTTTATTTATCAATCCGTAGACTTGATGGTATGAATTGAAAACCCCATAGCTTGGCCATTTCGGTAATTCGCTCTATCTAAACTAATAAATGTTTTCCTTATATCTCTCCAAAGTGTTAAGAACTTTCCCATTACAGACTCCATGTCAAGTACCACGGCTATGGCTATGCAAGTGTAAAGTAGCATGCATCATGGGAGCAGTGTTGACAAAACAAACGCAGCGTCATTTTGTTATTTTAGAAGATGCACATCTATAATTTTCTCCATCTCATTTCTTTTGTGTGGATTAAATATTTTATCATTACATTATTATCATTATAACGGAGTCACGTGCGCATATTTTTATAGTACGTTTAAGACTGCCATTACTGGACGTAGAATAAATGTGAAGTTACTGTTTTCATTCGAATTTTCCTGTAAACTTGTCGATAGGACTCCTTGTGACTGACATACTTCCAGCCACAAGGAAGTCGATCGGTAGTTACTAGCTATTACAATAGCAACAGAATGTGTATTTTCTTATCATTTAGAACGTTATTTTGTTTTCCCAGTGTCGGAAGGATCGATTTGTATTTGCATTTATAATCTGTATCTGGTGGGACTGTGACAATGATTGTTTGTTTGTTTGTTGTTTAACGCCGCACTCAGCAATATTCCAGCTATATGACGGCGGTCTGTAAATAATCGAGTCTGGACCAGGCAGTCCAGTGATTGACAACATGAGCATCGATCCACGCAATTGGAATATGATGACATGCATCATCAAGTCAGCGAGCCTGAACACCCGATCCCGTTAGTCGCCTTTTATGACAAGCATAGTCGCCTTTTACGGCAAGCATGGGTTGCTGAAGACCTACTCAACCCCGGATCTTCACGGGCCCTGTGACAATTTGATACATGGTGTGTGTTTGTATTTACAAAGATAAAAAAATAGATCCTTGATGTATTATTGGCAATAAGTCATTGACTACCAGCTCAACTACACTGAATACAGTGAGTGAGTGTGTTGGGATTAAAGTCGCATTTTATAATATTTTAGAAACACAACGGCGTGTCAGGTAAGGAGTGAGTGAGTGAGTGAGTATGGTTTTACGCCGCTTTTAGCAATATTCCAGCAATATCACGGCGGGGGACACCAGAAATGGGCTTCACACATTGTACCCATGTCGGGAATCGAACCCGGGTCTTCGGCGTGACGAGCGAACGCTTTAACCACTAGGCTACCCGACCGCCCCTGTCAGGTTAGGAAGAAAGCCCAACCAAGACACAGGTATAGTGCTGATCTTCCAAATATCATAATCAGTTCGAATCGAACAATGGTCAGTGGACGATCAAGGGACCCAACGTAATAATGATAAACAAGAAAAAAATTAATACGCTGTCTTAGGTGCATGTACTTACCTTCACCAGACAACAGACGCTGCAGGTAGCTCTTGTGTTACGAGATACTCCTATTGTAATAACGTCCGAAATATATGCCGTGTTCACAATCACCTCTCAGTTACACAACAAGTAAACTTCGAATGAGACACATCCAAACTGATAGCTTGTTGGGACACGCGGAAGAATTTCGCGGCTGTAGGATGTATTGTCTGTGGTATAATGAAAACTGTAGCATGAAAACGGGCCAACCGACCTTATAATGAGTGAATCACTTCCACAACCGGACATATTTCTCAATTGATTTTCCGTAAATCTTTGCTCTATTTGTATTAGTTACATGTGTGAACTTGATGTTAATACGACATTATCTGTGTTAACAACATTCTAAATAAGACACACTAGTTTATCACGGGGATTTTGTATTGATTACCATCGTTAGGAATATGGCCACACGTGGAGTGAATTTCTGTAATTTCTGACCATTGGAAACAAAGTGAAACCGAGGTTAGATACCTGCAGCCAATTCACGAAGCTGTCTTAGCTAAGATAAATCTAAGCGACAAACGTAAACAATTACCACTGCCATATGAGCTATTCTTAAAGCTGTCTTAAACCTTTCATAACGTTATCTTACTTACAACACAAGTCTCGGAATAGACAGTGAGCTCATTTGTGACGGTAGTAAAATTAGCTGGGTTTTTCTTAACGACGTCATTCAGGGAATTCTCTGGATTGAAATTGTATCAGTATTCTTTATTCTAACGAGGAAAGTATCGTAAAGCTGTTATCCTTTATAGACAGATACACCAAGTGTTGAAGATGAATATATAGAATTCGAAAGGATGATGCCGAAGGAAAACGAAGATAAGATATAAAAAAGTATGCGTAAATAGGCGCATACCTACGATACGTCGCAACACCGATTGTGCTTTATAGGGGCGATGCCTAAGCCACGTCGCAGTTGTATGAACAGTCATTGAAACAGCATGCCATCTTGCTATACATAATCGAAGAGGTGCTATTTCTTTAAATGCTATAAATTCTATACGTTGTGCTCGTAGTCAAAGGGAAACCACTCTCACTATCCATATAAATTAACTGCCCTTGACAAGAAAAGGTCACGACCATTGCGATAGCATACGCTGCTAATGTTTCAAGCGAAATAACCGAAAAAGGTAGACGTGACATTTTGTATGGAATGATTGTTAGCTGTCATTTGTTATCGACTCAAAGTCAGGCATAAGTCATCGGTAAATACAATGTTTTAGTGGTGTTAGGGGGAATCTGTTGTTTGCGTTTTGTAAATGCACTTGAAAAACTTGAGTTTTGTGCTCAGAATTCATACAGTTGACACATACTGTCGTTTTCATACTTTCAAACAAAAGGCCGTTGTTTGGCCGCTATTGTGCATGCCGAAACTCCAAAGGCAGGTCCGACCCTGTCTTACTTTTTGTCGTAAATTTAAGGTAACTTAGTGGTAAGACAGCTTGGTGAATAGACTTAGCTAAGATTTGTTTCGCTAAGACACCTTTACGTCAATCTTAGCGCACGAGTTTCATGCACATTTTAGATATGTAAATTGTCTGTGTGTGTCACATCTCAGTAATGTTGATTTCATGTACTGCAAATATTGAAACTTTTGATTCATCTAATAATCAGTTAATACTGTAAATATGTGCAGGTAAAGATTATTTATTATGCATATTATTATATCCCTTTAAATAATTTCCGTTCTTTTGTCTCCTTTTCAGACCCTCTATGTATACATCGTTGAAAAAGTAATTGCCAGTTGTTTACTCCAGAAGTGACAGTATTACAGACAGACGGACAAACTAGCAGATCATCACGACGCAGGCCGCAATATATTCCAGCAATATCACGGTGTCATGTTTATAATCGAGTCGATGCATGGCAAACCAGTAGCTAACAGCATGAGCAATGATCCATCAGTCGGGGCACGATGACACACAATCAGTCAATCAGATCTGGCCCTCATTACCTGGCACAAAGGTACGTTTATTGAAACATTTACAGATGACTCAAATCGTCATTGTTAATTGCCAACTGCCAAAGCATGTTCTGACAGTAACCTACAGTCTTATCATGGAACGCACATGTTTTTTGTTGCACCGACATTCCAATGATATAAACACCATCATCGTCAGCGCAGCCCCTCCAAAGACATAGAGCGGAACTTCATACGATTTCCTGTTATCAAACACCAAGCCTGAAACAGAACATTGCCCTTGTAATATATTTACATATGCATGAACATAAATAGAAGCGACAAAACCTTCCCCGTAATACTAAGAGTGAGTGAGTATGGTTTTACGCCGCATTTAGCAATATTCCAGCAATTTCACGGCGGGGGACACCAGAAATGAGCTTCACACATTGTACCCATGTCGGGAATCGAACCCGGGTCTTCGGCGTGACGAGCGAACGCTTTAACCACTAGGCTACCCCATCGCCCCCGTAATCTAAGAAACCCATTGTACGATTCCGACTTATCATGAGCACATCTGTATGAATCACTGTCATGGTGATGATACCAAGTGTCTGCATCCTGCCCCACGTCACAAAGGCATGTCACGGAAACATATAGTGCAGGGAAATGCATCGGACATCATTTTTGTCACTGATGCGTCAACTTTGGAAATGTCCTCCGTATGTCCAATATAAAACTCCTTCATACTTATAGGAGTCACGGATGGACCAGTTGTCTAGAGCATTGCAATAAATTGTGAAGAGTTGTGTCCCTTATCCATGCCGGGATCCAGTTTGGAACGGGGCCATTAAGTGTACACGAATACTACCAGAATAACAAATAACTCCAAAATAGTTATTTTATGATGCAAGTAGCCTACCTATAACTGTCCCGAAAACAGGAGTGACAGCACCGTTTATCATCCCACAGAAGCCGAGACCGAAAGGTAGCATCTCCTGCGAAAGAACCTCCAGTGAGACAACAGGAAGCATAGCTGTCATCCCTCCAATTCCAGCGCCAGCTGTCGATGTCAACACTGTCAACATCGACCATTCGGTGGATGCTCCAAGAAACATCAATGAGATTCCTGTAAGCAGCATTTGATAAAAGTGAGCATTTGTTGTGATGACATTATATTACTTGTGTTATCAGTAATCAGTTGAAGACAAAATGATCGTACACATGTAATATATGCAACAAACATGCATGGAGAGTTCTTGGTCTGGTGGTTTACGTCCTGGGCCCCGTTCCACAAAGTGATCTTAGCGCTAAGTCGGTTGTAACTCTCATTCTTTAACACTGACTTACGACAGTCGTAGCGCTAAGTTCGCTTTGTGGAACGGGTCCCTGGACCTTCGACATTGTGTGTTGTTATCACACATCAAGGTGACTCATCGTTACATGATTAAATTCCTGTTCCAAGATAAGTTGAACTCATCTCATTCATTCATTCTGAACCTACCAAGAAGAGCCGCAGACAACGTGAATATGATGATACTGTGGAGTCGAGGTATAAGCTTCAGAATGCCACTTAACAGTCGAGCTATTGTGTTAAACGAGTTGTAGTAAAGAATGAGTGCCAGTCCTCTTTCTTCAGAGAATCCTTTACTTTTAGCCAAATCCGATAAAATACCACCGATGTTGTTTGCTGTTCCAAAGGTTAAACCGGATGTTATAACGAAGGATACGAAAACAGGCTTCAACATTAGCTTCCACTTGGATTTGGACTCCTTTCCTGTGACGTGACCTGTTGGTCGTTGTCCTTTAAAAAATTGGGGATTCCCTAAACTAGATGTTATCACTAACGTTGAAACGATGGTTTGAAGATAAAAGCAACTGATCAAGAGAAACGTTCCTCGCCATCCGTAAACACTATTTAGTGTAGCGAGAAATAGAATAGTTCCGATTCCACCACTGAACATAATTCCTGCCAGTGCAAGACTTCGACTTCGGCTCTTGTTGAATGTGCCTGCCACCAGTTTTGTAATAGAAATGAAGATGAAACTGTTTCCAAATCCTGAAACATATGACGTGGCAGCATATTAGGAGCAGCAATTCAGGCAACAATGCAATGGACTATTTGTTTTTAGGAATAGCCTGCTAACCACAGGGAATAATTGTGTTTATTGATCTTATAAAGAATAGACAACAATAGTCACTAAATAAATGAAGTGGTCTAAAAACTGATCAATCGCATATGCAGTGAAACAATCATGTATTGTCGATGCACTTCTACCCCAGAAAATTCTGGAGGCTGATTGAAATGTAATCCTTTGAATAACAAATTTTACTAATGACAATATCAGTCACTGAATTGTCTGATCCAGACATAACTACGAGGTATTTACAGACCATCGTCATGTAAGTGGAATGAGGCTGAATTTTGCATTAAACAACAAGCAACAAGCAATTACAGGGATTTATCTGGACCTGTTCTTGGCCCGATATTTGGCCCCAAATCTGAAATGTCTGTCATTAAAAAATCCAAAATTGGAATAAAACATTTGCCAAGTTATACAATTAATAACTAATGTTATTCATTTGTATATGTGACTTGCATGTCACTGTCAACAGGAGAAATAAACAAGATATAGGCTTTAATGTTTAGTTTTACATTTGTTGCATTGAATAAAATCTTAAAAATCTGAATTTAAGAAAATACAGACAATGGAAAAAGCGACAATTCCGAAAAACATTTTGTCTGCCGGGGGTACTTAGTTTGAAATCCTAGACAAATCTCTGATCTTTTCGAAGTGACAGCTGATGACGTAGATGTAAATTGGGAGAACGTTCGAATTTAGATACTATGACAAATCATGATCTTAGTCAAAACTTATTTTATTACGTATATGATTCTCAAATTGTGCATCTTGTGTCCAGATTTGATTATTTACAGGCATGCCGCCAGATATTTTGTGATATAAACTGGGAGGCAAAAGAGAGTATAGGTCGAGTTCCATGATCGATAAAACAATAACAAGAAGAGGTTTTGTTGTGAATAATAATATAATCTAGGGAGGGGTAACAAATGATTGATCAACCACAGTTTGAATGAAATTGTGCAATCACAGGTAATGTAAACTCAAGGTAAACAATGGTGGGGTAAGAAATTTCATTTTCAAAAGTTGTCTGAAATGTAACCAAAAAATTGTCAGACACACTACAAGTTCATTGTCGACACAGTTGCCTTCAATAGCGTGTATGACCTCCAGCTGCCTCAATGCATGCTGTGATACGCCGCCTCATCGATGATGTCTTCTGATGACGTGGACTGGAATCCGTTGCCAATCGTCTCTCAGGGCCTGCTGCAATTCTTGTCTGTTGACGGGAGGCTGATGGCGTGCTCTAATCTGTCTGTCAAGATGGTCCCACAGATGTTCAATAGGATTCATATCAGGTGAGTGGGCAGGCCATGGCAAAACGTCAACGTTCTGCTGGTTTAGAAAGTTCCGTGTCAGTCTTGCAGTATTGGGCCTGGCATTGTCGTGTTGAAACAATGTCCCCTGCTGTTGGTTTTGTAAGAACGGAAGCACAACTGGCTGCAACACCTTGTCCCTGTACTGCACAGCGTTCAGGTTTCACTGTATAATCACCATCAGTCTTCTGATCTCCACAAATACCGCGCCACACCATGACACCTCCCCCGCCGAATGGATGGACCTCTCGAAAACACGCCGGAGCCAAACGTTCCCCTCTGCGTCGATAAGCTCGTGCTCTGCCGTCATTTCGAAACAAGTTAAACCGACTTTCATGAGAAAACAGCACTCGACGCCAATTTCTCACTTGCCAGCGTCGAACCTGCCTCGCCCATCGCAGTCTCAGGCGTCGATGTTGAGCAGTCAGTACCATTCCTCGGAAAGGACGATACGCTCGGATTCCAGCAGCACGAAGTCGTCGTAGTACTGTACGTTGGTTAATGGGATGTCCCAACGCTGTTGCTGCCGTCGCCTTCGCCGTTGCGAATCTGTTTCGCAGGTGAATGAGCCGTATCTGACCGTCTTCCAGTGGTGTTGTCACTCGGGGTCGTCCGGTTCTAGGCCTGTCCTGTGTCCTCCCTGTCTGCCTGTACCGTTGAATCAGCCTGGCTACTGTCAATGGTGTACAACCAAACCTTCTGGCAATTTGGACCTGTGTAGCCCCCATTTCGGCCATACCGATGGCTCTCTCCCTGCTCCTGTGACAGTCGTGGCATTTCTTTTGTGTGCTTTCATCGCGTGTGGTTATACCCTGCAGACGAACGCATTTATACAGCTAACATGCACGTGCAGTTTATGCCATAGGCGGGAAACCTGTTTCAGCTATGTGTTTGGTCACTGCACGAGCGCCGTCAAAGGTGGCGCGTTCGGGTGAGGCGTTTTTTGGTACCTGTTCCTGGGCAGTCATATTCCCAATACCCACTTTCCACTAGTTATCGCTGTTTTTAGGAAAATGACAAATTACCCATACTTTCTTTGGCCGCTTAGTTTATGTTAGGGGATACACTGAAAACATACCCATAGAATATCACAAAATATCAATAATTTCATTTAGCCCTAAACAGCTAAATGCGGTTATTGACATACCAACACCAATTCTCCAACTTATAATATTTATTCTGCCACATGTCTGTGTTTACATTCTAACTCCGATAACCGTCACGCGCTTGGGGCGTCTTCGTCTTCCGCTGCCATGTTAGCTACACGCTGTTCAAATCACCACCCACCCTCCCTGTGGTCAGGCTTTCTGCTCCGTTCATGTACATTTCAGAGTCAATGCTTGTCATTATTCAATAAATGTCATGTTGCTGGTGTGGTTTGAGCGGACACTATCCATATCGTCGGGCAAAGACTACAATGCCCTACAATGCTCGTTGCCTGCTTCACAGAGGGAGACCATTTATCCAGCCTGCAGGTCTTCGGCGGGTGGATGCTGTGGCATAATCGTAATTAACGCTTGTCTGCTCAGGGTCCAGCAGAGAGTGGTAAGCTCGTCTGCCATTCGTGACCAACGCGTGTTATTCCGGGACAAGCCGAATAGCGACTCGTGCCTCTCTCATAGCTTAGGGTTCAGCACATTCGTCACCACTCGCCCCTTTCCGTAACCTGCAAGACAACTCGTCTCCCATCGATGAATGTTATGTGCGAAATACGACAAACCAATCAGAATGCGCGTATGATTTCAAGTTCTTCGTCAAAGAATCCCTCAGAACCAATTTTTGATTTAACATATGTCTTACATCTAAAAATATACCCAAGACACAGTTAAATGTGGTCAACCATACTGTATAATTCCGCATGCCCCGATTGCTTTTAATTGCATCTGAAATATCTATAATATATGGGGAAATATATGTGAACCATTACGCAACGAGTTGACAATTGTTTTAGGTATGCCCGTTTGCGCTAAGACGTAACCCGGTCGCAATAATGGCCATGAGAGGCCACGAGTCGCTTCTCGGCTTGTCCCGGAATAACACGAGTTGGGCACGAATGGGTATACAGCAGAGAGCTGATATATTTGCAAGCATCACTTCACTAACACCACGAGAGTTATCTCCCTTTATGAATGGTGCCCGCCTCATCCATTCACGACTTGTGCTTTTCTCCCAACAAATTTACCTTCTGGTGTCATTTTCTGTCATTCAGCGTATATTTATGTGGCAGCTACATATTTTGGATAATTCTTTATCTTACCTTTTAAGTATAATTCATGTACATAATTATATGATGTACATAATTAAATGCAGTTTTAGTCATTTTATTGGTCAGCCTACTCTAAACGCTAAACTATCAGTCACAGCCCTCTTACTAAGCATACTTACTGCATTGTTTGTTGAATGTTACACCCTGTGCACTAATACAATAGCCTCAGCCCTCAAGCCTTTTGTCTATATGACCAGCTTGGGGACTCAGCCATACTGTACTCCTAAGAAGGAATATGGTCACTCCACATATACCTTTCCAAGGATAGAGATATATATTCACTATTATCACAAGGATCGTTTTTGGGGACCTTAGATCCAATCCAAGGTTAGTATTTTATTACTGGACTGAGGATTTTATACAGTAGCGTGTGTGGTC